AAATTCATAAATACTGATGTGTTTTATAGCGTCTACCCTAGTAGAAATTTGTCATAGTATCTTTAAGGGCACTGGACAGTTCCACTGGAAAATTTCGAGGCACTTTACAGTTAAACTGGCTAAAAACTATAAAGTGATGTCACGCTAATTTCTTCAAGTTATTGTCCAGTCAAATTTTACAGTTTCTGATCATCAGTCCTGTAGAAAAACTATACAAAATAATTCACTTGGAAATGTCAAAACTTTCTTTATATTGACGTTACGTATTAAACACGTACAAATTTGAAAATATAACGTTAAATTTTTTTGTCAACAAATTAAATAAATTAAAATTTTACGAAACTATATTTTTACTGTTGGTGTATCTATTGTTCCGTATAATAAATGATTTATAATAAATTATCTGTAAAATTATTTTTAAATAACTACATAATTAAAAAAAAATATAAAAATTACTGATTCTTGAACACATGTCATTTTTTTACATTAAACAACATTCACTTTTTCCTTTAATTAAGCACAACACTGAAATAAATATTATTATTTTATCACACTACAAACTTATAAGTAAACCCTAATATGAAGAATTAATTCAGTTCAAACGAAAAATATCTAGCGGTTTCGGGGAGCGAATTCGGGTCACACTGGGACGAAATACCTAAACGCACGCTTTACGCATCACGGCCGTTCTAGTCGATGGACGATTCCGGAAAAATAAGAACCATACTCTACCGGCAGGTAAAGCAGTTCCCTTTTTCATCTTTTCTAGCTTAACTGGCGAATTACTGGACAGCTACTGCATAACACTCTAAAGTTGAACTTATTGATTATTACTGTATAGAAGTTCTGTCTGTCCAGTTATTCTCATGGTACTGTCTAGGCGTTCCGTGAAATTATGTTTCAAAGTTTGTCGTGGCGTTAGCGCTACCGTCAGTCCAGCAACTGAACAGTGTTGTGTAGACATTTTCCATAAATACATCAGAGTATACACTGAAAGAAATAATTCGCGGGTGTAACTAGAATTATGTCTATTTTTTCCGTAAGGAATTAGTAATAAATTGTTACTGTCTACTGTCATTAATTATAGACAGTTCTGTTATTCAGATCGGAGAGCTATACATATGTCAACGTCAATTCATCAATGTAAAACATAACCTCACTTTATTGGACCAATTCTAACTTTTTGTATGTAACAGGTTTGTTAAATTAATATTTATACATATAATAAGAGTATATAATCTTGAAAAGAAATTGTCTTCTGAATTTAAAAAATTAGTTATTTTAATTAACTCAATTAATTGAAGCGAATTTTAAAAAAATTTTTTTTTTCTAAAGGAATTTTCATTAAAAATAAATTTTGATTGAAAAGAAATTTTTATTATTAAATCAAAATTTTAATATTAAATAATTTAAAAAATTTGTTATTTAGTTGTCAACAGTAAAATAAAAGAACAAAATTAAAATTATAAAAACTATAAACTGTAAAACCAAAAGATTTATTTTATAGAAAATATTTCGAAAATGTCAATACACAACTGTTTAGTTACTGAAACTGGCGGTAGCGCTAACGCCACGACAAACTTTGGAACATCATTTCTCGGAACGCCTCGACAGTGCCATGAAAATAACTGTACAGGACTTCTATGCAGTAATAATCAAGTTCAACTTTATATTTTCTTTAACAGTGTTATGCAGTAGCTGTCTAGTAATTCGCCAGTTAAGCTAGATTAAACTTCCAGGACTAAAACTGTACAGTAACTTGAATAAATCTAGTCATGCCACGACAAATTTCTACTAGGGTATATACACTTCGTGTATATAGACGCTATAAAACACATAAAATTCCACTTTTACTCATCCCTAGTGCTTCAATTAAATCTGAGCAAATCTTCAAATTTTTCTTTTTCTAATTGTAGGGTCTAGGAGTATGAAAGTAGGGTCTACGATGTTTAAAAGTACGGTATAGGTTTCTTAGAAGTAGACCCTCCTTTGCTTCTCCAAATGGAAGATTGGCAAATTTCAGCCTATTTTGGGAGTCAAAGGAGGGTCTAGTTTTTAAAAATTGTATTGAAATCAGACCCTACTTTACGACTGCTAAACCTGAATAAGCCCTACATTTTCAGAGGCTAAGTAGGGTCTAAATTTCGACTCGGGTTGGTATAGGAATCCAATACTATGCCGTAAATTGTATGTATTGAATGTTTGTGAAATTTATGCAATTTTGAGTTGTAATTGGAGAATGAATGGTTAGCTAGGAATCGAAAAATGAGAATTCAAACTCACCTGATGCCCGTAACGATGTGTAGTTCATAGACTCATTTCCATGTCGAGTTGGACCGATGCTGCATGTTGGAGGCGGGAGTCAAGCGAGGTTGGGTAAATTTTGTTTGGGATTCGACAGCGAGGATTACTATTGCGGAAAATGAAGTACGTGTCCTCTCTGTGCCGGCCGCGAAGTGGTGCAAACTCGACAAGAATTGGGATCTCTCCTACTTCTCACTTCTCTTCGGTTTTCCATTTTCGAAATTACAAAAAACACAATCGTTGACTTTGCAGGAAACAAAAATGTTTCGTATTTTTATTGAAATTTATTAAATAAATTGTTTGGTTTAATTGGCACTGCGAGCATCGCATCGCATCGCATCGCATCGGTGAAAGGTGTGATGAGAAGACGACTGGGGGAGGCAAAGGGGAATGTATAACCTAGTGCTATTATGATGCGAAATTGCTCGAGGCAGCTGAGCGATTAAGGGGAAATTGAAACAATGCTCGAAAATGCTGGAACAATTACTATCGGCTTATCCGTTGACGAACATGCGACACACATCAAGTATCGTAATTGAGTACAATGTATTAAATTTAAATGTGTACGTGTATGAGTTGAACAAAAAAAGGGAGAATCGAATAAAAAAATAAAAAGAGATAGGCAAAAACAATGAAAGCGTTTCTGCAGTCGCGTATAAAATATCCAATTATCCTCTGCAGAATTGAGTATCGAGCGCGGTCGGATGCTGCACCGGCAGTAAATATTCCTGCCGTCGTTTTACCAAAATCTGGAAAGCAGCCAACGTGAAACCGTCGTCGTCGTCGTCGTCGTCGTCGTCGTCGTCGTCATGCCATTCTGAACCTGGCATATACTTGCGGAATTTTTATGGATTTATAAGATTCTTTAGCGCTTCGCCAAGTCTCTTTTCGTATCCATATCAATAACACAATAACTTTCGAAAAATAAAAAAAAAATCACATACTATTTTCAGGCAAAGACATAGTAATAGTAATTAAATAATTGAAATGGAGGATAAAAAGAATATTTGAAGGCGAAAGAAAAGTTAGCTATATCGGATTTAAGGGATCGATATAAAGAAATATCGAAATGGAGGGATGCAAGTAATGATTGAAAGGCTTATGTAAATCGTTAGCCGGTTAGAGAGGAAGAGGATTTGTGGAAAGATATTAAGACTAGTGTGTAAGAGGGAGAGAGAGATGGAAAGGGAAAAGTTCTTATCGTGGAAATCGGTTGACTTTGGCCGACCCAACCCCTTTTTCTATAGCCGCTTTCAGACTCCACAAAGTCGCCCGTTTCTTTGCAAGCTCCCTTTATTCGCTACTCCATGTCTCTGTCGAACATTCCTTTTCACGTGCGATTTATTGATCCACGCACAACCCCACCGACGACTACTACTAGTAGCTGCCAGTGGTTGCATCCAATAATACGGTCAGCTTAATCCAAAAAGTCCGATTATCCAACTCGAGTATTCGTCTACACATGCAGGCGAAGAGTCAAATGAACATTCAATTATATTACTCTCGACTTGATTTTCAAAATGTTTTCATTTCATTTAAAATATTGGATAATTAGAAACAGCTACATGTCAAATTACTCGAGAAATACATTGTGTAAAGTAGAAAATTTGCTAATTTCATTAGAGGCGATAATATAAAGTAAAGCTACCTAATCCTTTATATTGCCTTAGACATAATCCATTCTATTTAGCTATATATGCTCCAATGTTCTTCAAGAGTGATAACGAGACGGTAATTTTCAGACTAATTTATTCTGAAAAAGGTGCACGTCTTTTGCTTCATAATCCAGAGTGTAATATCCAGCAGGAAATTCTCTGGCTGGCAAAAGGTGCTTATAAAAATTCGTTCAACTTAATGAAGCCATAACTTGCAATTTATTCAAATGTATGCTAACCGATATTATGGTCGTTCTCTATATTCAAAAGCTCAGTAAATCAAATCACGCACAATTTACATAGGAAAATCTTTCATTTTCCTCTCGTTATCATTATATCATCCTCTGTGTTTCCAATCTCATTCACGTTATGATTAAAAGATAAGAATTTCTTTAAATTCCTTTCATCTCCAAATTCTAAGAGCAAGCCGTCGCACATTATTTGCGAGTTGAGTGAAAAGTTTCACACTCAAAGTGCATTAGGCATATAGCATATTAAAGGGGCTCTTATTTCGCGACTTGACCCAGCCGTTCCATTAAAGATTTAAATATTGATCTCGTGGCAAAGGCCAGTGATTGCATTTCAAAAGTGAATTGAGCCTCGAGTAAGGCATTCGAATCAAAGTTTCTTGTAACCAACTAATCTGATCCATAGTTATTCATTAGAAAACTTGAACGTATTATCAATTCATTAACACTTATAGATTTCCAAACATATTCCAATTTCCAGCGAAAACTATACCTGTATATATATATCCAGAGAGTTTGCTTCAATTTATAATTAGATGCTGGCATTTTAGGATAATGTATCCTAATATGAATCCCGGCTTTCGCTTATTAACAGAACTAATGTTCAACTCAGGTAATGAGGAAAATTAATTAAATTCTAAATTCACTTTAATGTTTAAAAATTGTCGCAAATAATGTGCACCATGTTTTCACTAATAATAATCGGATTAAGATATAAGATGAAACAAATTTTTTTATTTTTTGCATATAAATATATAAACATAATTCAATTTCACAAAAAAAACCCTTTTTATTTTTCATCCGAGAATTTAAATTTCCTTCTCATCTACTAATGAAAACATAATAAAATTATTAATTTATGAGGAAAATGTCATCACGTTGGTACACAGCCATGGGGGAGAAAAAGGCCTTAATAAAAGGAGGAAGATTATATCTTAAATTTCGTCGACAAAGGAACAAATTATTGACCGAGGATTCAACACGAAGAAACGAATTAGGGACTGAAAAGCGTTTGGCTCCTTCCTCAGGAACATTTTTGGAATCCTGCCGAAAACCACATTCTATACTATTATACAGCCAGTCGTCGAATCTTTAATAAGTGTTTAAAATGAAGAAAAAACTTTATTCTTTTATCTAAATTTGAGGTAGTTATTTTGAAAGTAATTTTTGGAAATTTATATAATAAAATGTAACAAAATTTACAACAATGCATTATGAAACTAAAATTTAATCAATTTTCTTGCAATGAAAGTAAAAAACAGATTACAGGGAAATATAAAATTTACAAGCATTTCTGGAGTAGAAGGAGATAAAAGGAAAAAAGAAGATGAAGAAGAATTTATGAGAATGATGTTTCATTGTAAGTGATGAGCGATAAGAGTTTACGAACTGGAAAAGAAATTCCCGACGTCGATCTGACTCGCGTTGTTATTGATATTGAACTTTGAGACTCAATCGAGAAACCCTAAGCCATCAGTCAACTGTCATCGCCATCAGCTTCTTCCATCTTAAATATTTCCGTTCATAAATATACTATTTTTTTGTTGAAATCAGAAATGTGCATTAGAAAATTTCAATATAAATTTAATTACTATATGAAAAATACAAATAGAATATACAACAGTTGCATCGAATTTATAAAAGATCTTGAAGATCTAACAAAAGATCCAGCAACTTAGTTTTTAATCTCTCATTTTCCACGAGTTGGTTGGATAAGGCAGTAAATGGGTGACTCAGTAAACGGTCCCAAATTTCTGAACCTGAATCAGACTCTTCATCTTTCGTCTTGAGATCACTGAAAGCAATCGGTAAAATATAAATAACTCGTATCAAGCTGTAAAGCTTAAAATTTGCAATCGATTCTAAAAATTCTTCCCAAGGATATATTTTCCAAATATCCATATTCACTTCCTCTAAACATTTTGCCAAAGAATCATAATAAATTTTCAACAATTTTTCACTATTCTCAATGCGAAAAGCTCTTGTGGTTGTGTAATAGAGGAAAATCAAAATATCACGAGCTGGTGAAGTGTATCTGTAAAATAATGCTTTCAATAGGCCGCAAATAGTAAAGCACTCTTAATTAAATGAGTAATTTGAATGATTTAATATTATTATTAATGTCATGTCGCCCTTGAAGCTAGAGACTCACCGTGTAGTCTGAAAGTCAATAAAACAGCATTTTACAGGTTTCCCATTGTCATATTTAAACATCATGTTATTAGACCACAAATCACCGTGATCTTGTACTTTTCTGCCTTTCATTGAAATTATGTCCGTCATTTTGGAAACAATTTCAAGGAAAACATCGTTAAATTTCTGACAAGTTGCCGAATCAAATTGAAAGTTATGTTGGGTGCAATACAAAATCCCCTGCGTTAAACTTTTATACAAAGCAGAGACACCGTCTTGTGAATCATTATTGGGCTCGATATCAATTCTCATTCCACGACAGAATTCCACTAGATTCATCTTGTTTCTTTCTTCGAAAATAATAGATTGCGAATGAAACATGCCCAGTGTTTCCATTACAATTTCGCAATGTGGAAAATCGAAGGTGCAAAATTTATTGTAAAAATTATTATTATTTATTTATTTTATTTATTTTTATTGCCATGTCCTCCAGTACTTGTTAGGGTCATGTTTGGATCGAATTAAAAAAAATTATTATTTGAATTTTAAAATAAAAAAAAGAAAAACTATGGTAAAAAAGTATTGTTAAAGAAAAATGAAACAGAGTAATTTAAAATTGTTAAAAATTGAAAAAATGAAACGTTAAGAAAAATTAAAAAAATCCCTCTCCTCATTATTGATTCTTATCAATAGTGATAATAAGAATTAATGAGGAGGTCCCTTCTCCCCTTATTTAGCCATAAGGGGCCAGTACGCATGAAAGCTTGCAATCAAGTAAACTTGAAGACCCGATATGCCGCCTCTAGGGTGCAGAACAGAGTGTCCCCACTTCCTCGAGGGCTGCCAGGCGCGAATATAATTTTTTTTTTTTGAATCGTTGATTTGTTGATGAAGACGGTGAACAAACAAAGTTGTGACGATAACACCAATAAGAAAGGCGTCGAATGATAAAAAGGTGTAGAAAATTTAATCTGAAAATAAAAAAGAATATATATATATATTACTTAGTATATTCTTGATTCAACTAATTACTACTTGATTTAAATATAATAATTTTAATACTTACTATTCCTATAATGGAAAGTCGCTTCGTCAAATGGTGCTTCCTTGGGGATTATTCCCTCATCGATGAGTCCCACGTTTAGAATATTTCGTCCACCGTTAATGTCACGTTCCCAGGTAGTGCGGCATTTATTACACTGCAGAAATCTGTGCGGACTCTTGGATTTTATCACATCAAAGCAGCAATTGCTGCACAGCGCAGTCGTGTGATACTCATTTACTTTAACGAATTTCAAGCGTTTGTCACCAAGTTGTTTTGCTCGATTAACAAACGTTCTCTTCAATTGATTCAACGCTGTACCAACGTAGCCACGTGTAAAGTTTGGTAATGATGCATTACCAAAAGCCACAAAACAAGGTTTTTGAAAAGTGTCTCCAATGAAGAAATTCACCAATTTTTCACATTCCCTCTGACGCGAAATATATTTGTCCATTTTTAAACGCACCACACATTTTTGCTCGTGCAACTCTTGAAATCTTTCGAACAGATGCAGCTTATACTCGATGATTCTCTTGTAATCTCGCGGATTGGTATTTGAAAAATTGGCCATTCTTTCTGGATTTTCAAGCACGTACTGTTTATAATATTTTTGAAGATCCAGACCAAATTCCTTTTTTCTTTCCCTTCTTCTGAAATCATTCATCTGCCAACGAAAACTGCTGCTCTTTAAATAAATGTGATTATCCTTCAATTTGTCCTCCATTGACGGTTGTGCACCACGAACTCTTCTTACACCACCCAATGTCGCCTTCTTGCCGGGATCGAAACCATAAAAGACTTTGAAACGAGTTTCCGGAGCAGGGCCTTCCTTTTCTTCAACAGATTCCATTTTTGGAACATTAAATATTATTGAAGCATCGACGCCATTTGTTGTCATCACTTCAGCAAATGCACCAACTTTGCCCCTTTCCGCGCTGGAAATGTCAAACATGTACTCCCATCTTTGAATTTTATTCTTGATTTGTAAAAATCGATTGATTTCTACATTCTTGCAAGTTTTTGCCTCTTTGATTTGAAGTTGCTTCTGTTTAAAAGGAATTGACTGCCGCCTTATCTGCAATTCTTTTTTCAAAAATACATCCTGCTCGGCACCCCTCTTTAAATCTTCCAGACCTGTATTGGAATACAATACATGTGCAATGCCGAGTTGAGCTTGCGGTACAAGAACAAAATTGTGAATATTGTTGTCGTGAAAGTATTGTTGAACACGTATCATGAATGGAATGAATTTTGTCCATTCAGAATTGCGATCATCTTCCTCACCATCGTCGTTTACGTCTCGTTTCATGTTTTGAAAATTCAACTTTTCTTGAGGATTCAGAAAATTATTAAATTCGGCAATGTCGCAATCATTGTTGTTGAGAAGATTTTCAACAACTTGAATAGCTTCTTTTCTCGTGCTAACAGTGTTGTTGCGAATTCTACTTGCAGAGCTCGACCACCTACTCTTTAAGGCAATATCCTTTCTTTTCCCATGAGTTTTTGGATGTTTTCTTCTTTTTCGAGTTTTTCTTTTTGAAAAAACTTTCTCACGATGTGAATTGTCCTTGGCACGATTTTCTCTTCTTTCTTGAATTTTAAAATTTGCAATTTCTTTGGCAGTCCTACGATGGTTTTCTTCTCTCGATGCTGCTGCTGCTGCTGTTGCTTCAATCCTTTTTAGTTTGCGACGTTTTGCTTTGAATTTTTTGCGATTCCTTCGCTTCTTTTCATTGTGTCTCTCTCGTCTTGCCATTTTTAAAATTCTCTCAGCTTCCGCATCATCATCGTCATCATTATCAAGAGCATCCTTCACAATATTCTCTTCTTCCGCGTCATCGGCAGCATCAGAGTTTGAAGCATTATCTTTTGCTGATAAAAGATGTTGAACCAATCTCGTCAATCTAGATTCGAAATGTTTCAAGAAACTTGTTTTAAATTCCCGATTCATTTTACGGGCTTCTTCTTGAATAATGGCCGAACGATTTTCACAATCGTAAAGTGGCATATTGCCACGTGTCACTTTATATTCTTCGATTAGCGCTACAAACTGAGGATCTCGAACAACTTGAGTATTTATTTTTCTTTTCAACGCAATAAAGAGTTCTAAATAATTGGGACCATCGTTCGTCCACTTTTCAAGCAAATAATGATTTGTGTCATGATAAAGAGACTGCAACGCCATCAAAGAGACTTCTATTCTCATTCTGGATACTATTTTCGCATCTTCAATTATTCTCTCCTTTACGGCATTTGATTTACATATGGTGCCCAAGAATATTTTGACAGTTGACTTTCGAGTTCCCAATCGTTTGAGTCGCTTCCTTTTTCTCTCATCCATAGGAGGTTCTTCATCTTCCTCATTGTTCGCCGTTCTCTTTTTAGTAACTTTCTTTTTATTCTTTTCCAAAGAATCATCTTTCTTAGTCTTCTTTAAATTGGTATCCTTCTTATCTTTATCGGCACGACGTCGTTTCGCATTTTCCTTATTTTTATTCGAACTATTCCCACATGCAGCAGTAGCAGGACATTTTGAAGAATTTGAAGTATTATTTAAAGAAGTAGATGAAGAAGGTAGAAAATCCTTTAATGTTATTGACTGCCTCTTTCGCTTCATTTTCTTTGTCTCCTGGCAAATATTCCAAACCTAAAAGAAAATTTAAAAATTTTAATCTCATTTAAAATTAAGAAATTTTAATTAATTAATTTTTTAAAATTATTATTATTTTCAACAATTTTTAACTAAAATTCTTCTTTAAATCAATTTTACGAAATTTAAAAAAAATTCATTTAACTTATTTCAAAAAAATCAATTTCAAAATTCAATTATTTATAAAAATTCACGCTATACAGCTTTTAATATTCAATTATTTAAATACAAAAATAATTCATTGTCTTAACATTTAATTCTCATAAAGAATTTTACCAACAAATTTTTCAATTGATGACGAATTTTAATAAAATTTTTAAGAATTTGAATTACATTTTTCGAAGAATTCGTTTAAAATTGTATTAGAAATAATTGAAATTCTTTGATGATTTTTATTATTTATGATGCAATTATTGAATAGCTGTTAACAATTTTATAAAAAATTTTCAAAAATAATTAAAGTCCTGAGAAATTTTTTATTATTCCAGAAAAAAATGAAATTCTCACAAAGCTTTTTACAAAAAATTTTTAAATAATTGAATTCTGTTTGGAAATTTTGTGAAAATAGTAGATGTTGAAAATTATTGAATTGCGAAAAGTTTTTTAAAATAATTCAATTTTACAAAGAATTATATTGTAATTCTTATTATTTATGAAAATAATAATAATTAGTTCAAATATTTTGCCAAAAATATATTAATTCAAATATATTAACAAAAATATTCTAATTAAAATATGTATAGTTATTAAAAGTAAATTAATTTAAAAATCCGATTTAATTTTAAATATATATTTATTCGAATTAATAATAAATTGAAAATTTTAAATATTTCGGAAATTCAATCAGAAATTGAAAAACAAATTTGCAAATAAAATTTTTAATTGAACTAAAAAAAATGGTGTAATCGGAAAGAAATAATAAACTGATTGTTGTGCACACGCGCAGTACAAGCAATATCAAATTTGAAAATGGCTTATTTTTTTCCCGTTCTCGTAAGCTTGTAAAATCTACACTATTTCTGATAATTTTATAAATTGTTCTATATTTATAATGAAAAAAAGACAATGATTTATTATTTAATAAATATAACCTCAATTACCAATTTTTGTCTATTTTTTTTAAATAAAATTTCTGCTATAAAATTTTTGAGTTTGTTTAATTTGAAAAAAAGCAAATTTTTGACAATAATGTCTAAACAAATAAAAAAAGTTGAAACTTACGTTTTAAAACAATCCTTGATAGAAAAACGGTAGCGAGAAACGATGGCGAGAAAGGATGGCGAGATACGTTGGCGACAAAGGATGGCGAGAAACGGTGGCGTGAAATGGTGGCGAGAAACGGTGGCAAGAAGGTGGCGACAAAGGGTGGCGAGAAACGCTGGCGATCATATACAGTTGACGATGACCTAAATGGTCATTACAAACAAGTTTGAATCCAGAATCTGAAAAAAAATATGTTTGTTTTACTCTGAAAACGAATTGACAAACATAATATTTCACTGTGAATTAATTAATTAATAGAGGTTAATTTCCGAACATCTCTTTTTTTTGCAGTAATGTCACAACGGTGAAATAAATTTTATTTATATAGATTCTTCTCACTTGTGAGAAGAAAAATAATTTTTTGAACAGAAATATATTAATTCAAATATATTAACAAAAATATTCTAATTAAAATATGTATAGTTATTAAAAGTAAATTAATTTAAAAATCCGATTTAATTTTAAATATATATTTATTCGAATTAATAATAAATTGAAAATTTTAAATATTTCGGAAATTCAATCAGAAATTGAAAAACAAATTTGCAAATAAAATTTTTAATTGAACTAAAAAAAATGGTGTAATCGGAAAGAAATAATAAACTGATTGTTGTGCACACGCGCAGTACAAGCAATATCAAATTTGAAAATGGCTTATTTTTTTCCCGTTCTCGTAAGCTTGTAAAATCTACACTATTTCTGATAATTTTATAAATTGTTCTATATTTATAATGAAAAAAAGACAATGATTTATTATTTAATAAATATAACCTCAATTACCAATTTTTGTCTATTTTTTTTAAATAAAATTTCTGCTATAAAATTTTTGAGTTTGTTTAATTTGAAAAAAAGCAAATTTTTGACAATAATGTCTAAACAAATAAAAAAAGTTGAAACTTACGTTTTAAAACAATCTTTGATAGAAAAACGGTAGCGAGAAACGATGGCGAGAAAGGATGGCGAGATACGGTTGCAAGAAATGGTGGCGACATTGGGTGGCGACAAAGGGTGGCGAGAAACGCTGGCGATCATATACAGTTGACGATGACCATAATGGTCATTACAAACAAGTTTGAATCCAGAATCTGAAAAAAAATATGTTTGTTTTACTCTGAAAACGAATTGACAAACATAATATTTCACTGTGAATTAATTAATTAATAGAGGTTAATTTCCGAACATCTCTTTTTTTTGCAGTAATGTCACGACGGTGAAATAAATTTTATTTATATAGATTCTTCTCACTTGTGAGAAGAAAAATAATTTTTTGAACAGAAATATATTAATTCAAATATATTAACAAAAATATTCTAATTAAAATATGTATAGTTATTAAAAGTAAATTAATTTAAAAATCCGATTTAATTTTAAATATATATTTATTCGAATTAATAATAAATAAAAAATTTTAAATATCTCGGAAATTCAATCAGAAATTGAAAAACAAATTTGCAAATAAAATTTTTAATAGAATAAAATTAAATGGTGAATTTGAAAAGAAATAATAAACTGATTGTTGTGCACACGCGCAGTACAAGCAATATGAAATTTGAAAATGGCTTATTTTTTTCCTGTTCTCGTAAGCTCGTAAAATCTACACTTTCAAATAGTTTTATAAATTGTTCTAATAAAAAAAACACAATTGTTTATTATTTAATAAATATAACCTCAATTACCAATTTTTGTCTAATTTTTTTTTTATAATATTTCTGCTACAAAATTTTTGAGTTTCTTTAATTTGATAAAATAAGCAAATTTTTGACAATAATGTCTAAACAAATAAAAAAAGTTGAAACTTACGTTTTAAAACAATCCTTGAAAGAAAAACGGTAGCGAGAAACGATGGCGAGAAAGGATGGCGAGATACGGTGGCGTGAAATGGTGGCGAGAAACCTACTTCCCTCTTTTTCTATCTCGTGCTGGCGTTCCGTTTCAGTTTTATTCTGTTCAGGGCTATACAGCAAACGACTGAAAATTTTTTTTACAATTAAAAAACAAATCACAATTTTTCTAAAAATAATGAACCAATTTATATTATAGATTATGATGAAATCAGTCAAGTCAAGTTAATGTAAACGATTAATGTAAAAAGTTCTCAAGACAAATTTTGTAACCTAACTTTTCAGAACATTAGTTTTTTAAACTTAATTTTAAATAATTATCATTTCACTTACTAAATTAATGTTCAGGATTCGCCAAAGATTCAAATAGACAATTTTTGATTTGCCCTCGTAATCCGAAAAAGAAATACGTACATTTATTGTACATAAATTTGTTGATTGTCGTCACGGAAATCAGCAAAAAAAATGTATTCACCTATATTGCAAATAAAACGTGTAATTTCAATAAAAATCTCGTACTGCTAATTAAATATGAATAAATAAAAGGATGCTAAAACTACGATTAGATTTTAATTGAGCACAACACAAAATTCTGCCACCACGCACGAGAGTAATGAGGATAAAAATGCCGGCCGGATGCCGGAAAACGGAAAAAAGAAAATGGCGGCACATTGTAGTAGGTGGCGCGCTGGGCGGTTTCGACTTCCGGAATTTAAATATTTTAACTTGTCTATTGACAATTTCATTTTTCTTTTTTTATTGTTAGAGATAAAGAGTATTCAAGATTATTTACGAGGATAAAAAATATTTAAAAGATAATTAAAAACTTGAGAATAAAATAATACTATAAGGCTGATTATTATTTTTTAGTTTGTTATTTTTAAAAATATTGTTGGCTAAAATAAAGACAAAATTTATCCTGACCTCCTATACTCACTTGCAAAAATCAAAATTTTTTAAATTTTATGAAATTAATCCTAATTTACAGTTATTTTTTATATATTGTTAATGAATTTATACTACGACTATTAAACACGTAATTTGGTGAGGTAATATTTTGCAAACACTTTGTATTTATTAATTAATTTGTTTCACTTTTGTACTACATTGTTGTAAATATTTACCACATTTCAGCAATTGTGTTACGCATAATTATGTATAATAAAATATAGAACGCGAATAATTAAATCGCTTAAACTATTATAGAAGCACTGACGGAACAGTCCACTTTGATGTGGCAGCCATTTTGTTTTATTCCGTCTCCCCTCTCCCCGCCACCCTACCCATTTAATTGTTGCAAATATTTCAAATCTTTCAACAATTTTGTTACGTTCATTTATTGGCGATTAAATTTGGCTGAAAAAACTACAACGATTTGTCAAATTATACTACGATTGATAGTAAATTACGCGCAAAAACTGCAAATGAAGGGTCGGGAATATCAATGACACAATAATCTTTTGCATTAGATTTACAGCAATAGAATAGCGAATAATTAAATAAATACTAATGAAAACAGATTAGAAACCGATAATCGATAATGTGGTTGATGTAAAAGCAACTTTTTAGCGAAAATTTATACGACTTACCTCGACAATGTATGGCATCGGAATGAACATATCTGCAGTGTGAAGCCAACCACTGCCACCAGACGCCTACACTGCGCATGCGTGAGAAAGGCTCGATTAAGAGGGCGCGCGCTTATTTAAAACACAGTAACATGAGAAAAAATAATTTAATTTCTATATAAACAATTTTTTAATGATAAATTAATTATATTTATATCTAACGTTTCATAATTTAATGTTTTTTAAATGAATAATTGCCGACGATTAGTAGAAAGTTAATATTTGGTGAAAATAATTTTTTTTACTGTTATTACACAGAAAGTAAATATTTATTACAATTTATTCATCTAAATCATGCATTTTCAATTAAATATTTATTTAATAACTCATAGTTAAATAAATTATAATTAATAAATTAATTATAATAAGAAATTAATAATTATAATATTAATTTTATTAAATTTACTAACTCTCAATTAAATAAATTATAGTTAAATAAATTATAATTATTAAATTAATTATAATAATTAATTAATAATTATAAAATTAAAATAATTAAATTAAATTAATTAAAATTTAATTTAAATTAATTTTTAATTAATTTGAAAAATTTGACAAATGGCACGAAGTTGAAGGTTAATTAGGATTCAACTTCGTGCCATTTGTCAAATTTTTCAAAAACACATTTTTTAAATAATTTTTTTCTATTAATCCCATTAAATGTCCATAATATATTATACGGGAATGGAAACTAGAAAAGTTAAGCTTTATTTTTAAATAATTTTGATAAAAATCGATAGGGGGTGTTTTGAGATATTAAGAGTTTAAACTTTCAAACAGGAATTTCTCTACGAAATTGAGAAAAATAAAAAAAAATAAAAATAGCATTAGAAAGGTCATGAAATTCTCTTTCGATTCAGTGTATAATATGTTACAAATAATTAAATTTTAAAATAATTATATTCATTAGAAAATCGCTCTCCTTGCGATTGTTTTTTGTCGGTGGAACACGGTTTGAAATGGAATGCCTCATTTTTATCTGATTTTTTTTTCTTTTTTTATATATATATATTTGCTTGCTTAGTGACAAAAGAAATGTTTTGTCAATTTATTTTTTAAATAAATAAATAAATAATAATAATAATAAATAAATTTTTTTTTTGAAAAAAAATAAAATAAAGAATAAAATTGTTTTTTTCATTTTTTAGCGCTGTATAAAGAAACACGTTCTTCTTCTAAAGTTTTCTGTGCTGGCGTACCTTGAGATACAGTCGACTGGATGCTGGTTGCAGATTTCAGGCAATTCCAAGTAGCATGTTGGTAAATAATCATTATCACACGCAAAAAAAAGGTTGGATAGTACATCCAATTTTAATTGGATAAAAGGAAATTAGCTGTTATATCTATGTAAAATCATATATGAACAAACGGCGTTGGTTCCAGTGACAATTTTAAATTTATACTTATGATTAGTCATTATATCTATTTAGTTGGATACGGTTTCCAACGAGTTGGATGTAGCAGCCAACTGAAATTTGTAAGTCCCGATTCCTATGATGCGCATGCGCTGTCAAGAAGTTGCGACTCGATTCCGACAATTTCGTGCGTGAACGTGAACTGTCAAGACGAAAATACTATAATGGACGAAAACACGATAAATTTTTTGCAAATAATCGCGCCAACAAACTGTGAACATTTAGTAACATTGTTAAACGAAAGTGACTAAGTGAAAGTGAAAGTGTCAAGTAATAAAGTAGCAAAATTGAAATCAAAGTTTGTAAAATTCTGTCTTCGTTTTTACAGAGAATCTTACAGATTATGAAACACTATTATCTCTTAAAGAGAATATGATTTTGATGAATTGATTTATTTGTGATGAGGAACAACCGCTCCACGATGAGGAATACCTAACGCGGAAAAAATTTTTAGGTTATGTTTGTTAATTTTAAAGTAAAAAAATCATAAAGAGAATTAATTTTCAGTGATAACTAATGATATTTATATCTTAATTATATCTAAAACATTCAATAAGAATTAAATTAGTAAAATTAAATAAACAAATAATTTTATTAATATTCATGTGTAAATTTAATTAAATATGTAAAATATAAATGGTTATTTCACTATTAGAAAATAATTGCATTATCCAACTTAAAAGTAGTGATAACAAAAAAAATAGACAGTTCACAAAAAAAATTGGCTCCCCTATCCAACAGAATTGGATAGTACATCCAACATCTAAGAATCCAATTAAATTGGTTGTCCTGTCCAACTAAATAGATCGCGCTCCAGACACTATCTAAAATAGCTGGGGTATCCAACACATAGTATACTGTATCCAACTATTTTTCTGCGTGCAGTTTTCTTGCAAATCAAAGGGAAAAGTTTCGTGTAAAGTTGTATTTCTCTATTAAAAACGCCGGTTTTTGAAAGAACATCAAATTGTTTCGTTCCCTGTGGAGGATGTCGTTTAATGAAAAAATTTATTTTCCTCACATTTGATGAATTTACAACTGTTGCCTTGAGGTAAAAATATTGTCCCATGTAACCGGCACATTTGTCAATTGGCAGAATTTCATGTGTTACCAGGGAATAATTTTTCATTGAATTTTGTCGTAAACTTTTTTGCACTACTTCCAAACATTTATTGGAATGAAGAATTTTGTCTGTCATTTTTTCAGCAAACACCTAAAATATTTCGCACTTTTTCTTTTATGTACTTTTACTATTAAAATAAGAAAATGAAAAAATTTTCAAGAATCAACAGTTCTATAGTCGTTCGCGACTTGATCGAACTGTCTCTGCGCTTTTTACAGAATTTTCCACATTGTGTGAAACTATATATACATATAGTCGAACTGATAATTGCATACACAACAATCACTCATGTATAATGAAACATTAGTTTAACTAATATATTGTTGCTTTTCCCCCGAACAGGAAAATTTCCATCTATTATTATTTTAATTGCACCCAAACTTTTGTCATTTAACATTGATTTCAATAAAAACTTGAAAACAAATATATAGGAAAATTGTAATTTAAAACATTTTATTAAAAACATCAGTTTTAGGACAATAAAAATGAAATATTTCTTGAAAAATGAATTTTATACGTGTGCCTTTAAAAGAAAGAAAGAGAAGAAGAAAATTGTTACAGAAAGCATTCTAGTTCAGAGAAAATGTCGAGCATTCTATTCTTGAAACGTTTGTTTGTCTTGAATTGATTTGAATAAAATGACAGAGTCTCATTGGAAATACTTGACCATAATTGCGATGTTTCATGACCGATCGTTTGCATATCGGACAATATAATTGGCAACGCAATAATGGCACGGAGCAATCCAAAAATTTTAAATTCATTAATAGATTCTATGAATGCATTCCACGTGAATACTTGCTTCATGTCAATATTTTCAAGTTGCAAGCACTCTTCGAAAGACGAATAATAACTTTTATAGAGAGTATCGCCGTGTTCGGATCTCATTGCTCTAGTAGTTGTGTAAAATAGGAAAACCAATATATCATAGGCCGGCGGCGCATATCTAAAAGAAAAAAGTTTAAATATTAAATTTAAATGTTAAATTAAAGAAATTAAATTAAATAGATTAATATTGTAAGAAACTTGCCTAGTATTCTGAAAGTCTATAAAACAACATTGCACAGGTTTTTCATCAGCATTATATTTGAATAACAAATTGTTAGTCCATAAATCGCCGTGCAATTGAACATTTCTATATTTAGCGGAAGGAACAAGCATTTTATGCATTTCCGCTTGGATTTTATTCACTAATGCCTTCAATTTATCACGAGTCGAAGATTCCATTTCAGTTATACAATCAATGACAGATAAGGCACATTTAACTCCAATCGTGAAAACAGATGGTGGTGGTCCATCATACGATCGGATGGCAATTTTTTTCTCTCGGCAAAAATCTAGTAAACTCATTTTATTTCGCTCTTCGAAAATAACAGATCTCGCGTGATATTTTCCCAATGTGTTCATCACTATTTTACAATGATCAATATCGAGGGAATCCAATTTTTCATCGAAAATATGAAAACCCTTTAAAGTCATGTCCTCGAGCACAAGGACATCGTTCTCAAGTCCCAAGTAGCATGTTGGTAAATAATCATTATCAGTTTTGTTGCAAATCTCAGGGAATATTCTCGTGTAAAGTCCAATTTCTCTATTAAACATTCCACTATTGCAAACGACATCATATTGTTTTGTACCTTTTGGTGGGCGAATTTTAATGAAAAATCTCATATGCCTTCTATCGGTCGGTGACTCTGGTCGGGCAACTGAGACCTTGAGATAAAAATACTGACCCAAATAACCATTCGCCTGTTGGATAGGCACAATTTCATATTTTATTAAAGAAAATTCTCTCATTGAGTTTTCATTCAATTTTTTATGGATAATCTCCAGACACTCTTGCGGTTCGAGTATTTGATTTGATCGATCCTTCATTTTCGCTTCTAATTTTTATCTGAAAATTTAACATCACGCTTTGTTTACAATTTTATAATATTTTTACTATTCATTATTATTAATTTTTAAATTACTGACCTGCCAGGTAGGAAAAGGTTATTATAATAAATAAGATGAGAAATAGGTAAATTTCACTTCATTGTCATTCATTCAAATCGTTATTGTATAAATTTAAAGTATTCTTGAAAAACACAGACTAACACAATTTATTAAAGCGACGATACAAACATGACTGACACAAAAATAGAAACAGCTGATTCTGAAGGCTTCTCGTGTACTTTATCTACAGTGCCGTAACTGAAAATTTTTGTGTTATAACATAAATCTTATAAGTATTTAAATTCAAATGATAAAAATGTCAGCTAAATTATCAGGCAAAATTCTAGTTGAAAGTTCCATTTTTTTATAATGAACTGCTTTTATTTACAATATTTGTAAACTTTTTCTTTTATATAAATATACATGAAATATAATTCATGTTGATTGAATTGGCATAATTTTCGGTACAAACATTTTTTTATCAAGCCAGTTGTACGTTACTGATTGTTATCAAAACATAATTATCGCGGGTATATTATCAACTCTAATTAAAGCCAAACATTCATATAATGTTATTTCTCCAATAATTTTAAATTACATCAAAACTTTTAATTTCAAAATTTTCTTTGGAATTTCGAATTATTTCTTATGATAATAATAATAATAATAATAATAATAATAATAGATATAAATAATTATATAATATGCATCAAATGTTTATTTGAAAATTAAATAAATCATATCAATTTTTCTTTAGAAAACTACATTTTTAAATTTTTAAATTTTTTAAATTATTTTTTCGCAATTATAAAGAAAAAAAAATTAACACACCTATAAACTTTAAAAATTTTAATTTTTAAAAAAAAAAGAGGAGAAAACTTTAGAAATCTTTTATAAAATTGAATCATTTTATTTCTGTTTATGCTTGTAACAACCAATACAGAATTGTTTCGGTTTTTTTCTCTAGGGAAGTGGAAGTAAATAGTTTCAACATTAGGGCGTTTAATAAACCGCAAATTCCAACAACTCGTGATAAAGTCGAGGACCTCGAGAATTCCGTACAAAACAAATGAAAACTTTTAAGTGAACAGAAATATACCGTCGAGACAAATTTTCAGTGGAAAATTGCGGTTAAACAATCGGCTTTAAATTTTATGATAATAAAACACCTTTTTTTTAATTGAACGTGCTTAAGGCAGCTAAAATAAAATTCGAATAGAAATTAAAAACATTTTTATTCTGCCACTTATCGTAGAATATAACAGAAATTTAATTGTTTCTGATACTTTTCAACAATGGAATAAATTTCCTTTTTTTATTATTTCACATACTTTTTGCCTATTATTCGAAGGCCAACTGGTTCGCAAATAAATGACTCTCAGTAACTTTCGGTGAAAATCGCAGACTTTACTTTGCATAACAAAGGGAAATTTCTATTCTGGACACATTTCCCTATTCGCATACTGACATTGGAAAAATTGGAAATTCGAGAACTAGATTGAATCACAGCTTTGCGAACGATCAAACCCTCCACTTGTTCTTCTCCACTCGCTTCAGGCCACTTTTTTTATCTCCAAAATCCTCCCCTTGTGTGTATGTTTGTGCGTAGGTGCGTACGTGCGTACATCGTCTACGCTTTTTTCGTTATCGCATTAGCAGTGTCAGCGAAAAGAGATTGGCTGTCGACTCTAGAGAATATACATTGAATATGTAGACCAACATTTGATGTCCCTTTTCGTTCGAGAGAGAAATACGCATTTGATATAATATACATACACCTTTAAACGGTGTAGCATGGATAAATTATAGTTTCAGTCGACAATAAATATTTGTTAAGAAGAAATACTGGCAAACTTAACATTTGACACGTCAATAGTAAAAAGGAAACTTACTGCTGCCATAAAAAGTCATATCCTTGCTATTAAAAAAATACAATTTTTGCCAACACTGTACGTTCGATACTTTTAAAAAAATTTAAATAGAATTTCGAAGACAGCAAAATGTAGTCAATCCACCTATTATCAATTTAGTAGAAATTTTGAAACCTTCACAAGCTTAAAGAGTTTGAATAATGAGAAGTCTTCCAAGTTCGAGCAAAGAGGAAATAACAAACTTTAATATCGAGAAGAGAAAATCTCAAGTCACAGCACAGTGGCGTGTTTTGAAAAAAATAATAATGAGGGACGCTGAGGATTCTGGATTGTATTATCCAGAACTTTAACAGTATGTTGCCAGTATATACTAAATAACCATTACAGTTTTGGAAAATTAGAATATCTGACAATCGGCGCCATCATTAACCCAGCGATGGGACGTTTTGAACACCAGAAATGTTCAGTGGTAACTATTGCCAATCCTCGACAGACATTACTGATCAATGATGATGATCAATGATGAGCTACTTTTGCAGTCTTGACATTTCACACTTGGGTTTCAACTATTGTTTTGTCCAAGTTTTTTTCCCTAAGGATATCTCTGTTATATCCTGGGAATATCTTGGTATGAATATGAAATATACACAAGATATTTCAAGCTGTGAGGACAGTATAAAAATTTCAATAAAATCCTCGTTAAAACCTGTTATGAAAAAGCGAATTCCCTGACGTGGGCTCTTAAAAGAAAACACTAAAAAAATAATAAATGGCTATACATTTTATTGGATTTCCATTTCTTGTGCTCGTTAAAACTTAAAATGCGATTGTTTTTCCCACTTTAATAACAGTGGAATTTCTCAATTGAATTGTTTCAGCTTTTATTTAAATACGCGAAGCGCACTTTATCCAAAGGCCTAGTTAATTCATATTGGATTCATTGCGAGTCTAGCGCAAACAATTCACTGTACTAGGACGCTCATTGGAATTTTGCACTTATTCTTGGTACTTGCGACTGAAATGTATGAAAAGGGAAATGTAATTCAACTGCAAAAATGAAAAAGATAAAACTGCGGTACGAAAAAGAAAATGAGTGCGCGGCTTACGGAAAATTTTAAAACACGAAAAAAGTTGTGAATCGTCATAAAATAAATGGAAATGTTGTATCCCAACTAAGCTGCAAGCTTGCTGCAAGTAGATCTCACAATTGACACAATCTTGCTTCGTAAGTTTACAGAGCATACTTGTGTGCAGTGTAGTTATGAGGACATTTTCCTACTTGCAACAAGCTTGCGCTGCAAGTTTTGAAAACTTACAGGTTACTTTATAACTGCAAAAGAGTTTGCATATATGGATGAAAAGTTGGTTACGTAAATCATGAAAACATTTATAGAATATCTCAACATTATTTCTTGGTTAATTTGTGAATTAAATTTTGTGAAACGATAAATTTTGAAGGAGGAACGTGCAATAATGAGAAAGGAAGTTAGTGTTTGGGTTTTTTCTCTTAGTTATTGCTCCATCTGTTACCATTCCGTATACGTGTATAGTCTACCGTAAGATTACCGATTTGTCAATTAGTCCTGCTAATTTATTTATTGCTGGTCGTATAACATGCCAAGAGCGGAGAGATATTTTTCCAAAGGCACATTTTCGACGGCGCGGCGATACCGTCTGCCAAGAGAATTTCGTGCCACGCCAGTCGCTAATTCAGATATAGGGAAGTAATAAGAGGGTTTACAATGAATAATTAAAGGAATTCTTGCTGACGCTGCACATTATTTGTGTGTATGTGTGTGTGTATGTGTGAGTTGCAACCCTACTTTTTAAAACCCATCCTTTAATTGGAGCATTTCTACCTCCCGAGAGATCGACATCATAATGCAATTAAACGTCTGTGTTGAACTGTTTTACGAATTTTACCCTCAATCAATGAAAACCCGCCCTTTCAGTATTAGGTATATATATACATATATTGCCGCTGGCATTGATGGAAGAGCAAATGCAAATTTGATGTAAGCTTTTTTAAAATGAACCGTCAAATTCCGCTATGAATCGATATGGGCTTCATGAATTCAAATTCAAAAGACAATCGTGAATACGAGGGCTCGTTTTTAGTAATAAACTGAAAAAGAATAATCATTTGTTCGAAATAAATAAAAGCATATCCTAAGTCTCTCGAAATCAATGTGTAAATGTATCGGATGCAAAGTTGTCGAAGCATTTGTGTCACAGAATCTGATTTTCTATGGACATGGGATAACACTTAGTGGCTAGTTGAGAGGATCTCTCAGCGCACACAGTCCATCAACGGAATAATACAATTCACAATACGAAACCTTTCACTGATGCCAACACTAAAATTCTAGACTTATTCTGTTTCAACTCAACGCACATTTATTTATTCGTTTCATTCATTTTCAATATTTTATAATCTTTCACTCTTATTATTGACGCATATCAGTATAAAAGGAAAAGTGAAAAATATTGCCAGAGTACTTGTTCTTTCGAAATACAAATTGCGCCGTATCCTCGCTTGTTTTTTCCTATGCGAGGCAAGTTTTACAATAAGAATGATACCTTTTACCCTTAAGAAACAAACCACGTCGGATAAAAATCATTAAGCGCTCAGAGAAGGTAAATTGGCAATTCGAGTTGAAGCGCCGTCGGGTTAGCCAAGACCCAACCAATTAAAGTTTTTCCAAGTCCCTGATTGCCTCCATACTTTGAGGAAAATGCGATACGATTTTCCTCAGCCTCTCTTCTTTTTCTTCTTTTGAAGAGAATATTTTAAAAGAAAATTTTTCATAAATGATTCGCACGCAGAGTCAGACATAAGAAAAAACTTTTGTTTATTAACTAAGCAAGACATATATATCTGTAAAAAGTACACAGAGAAACTATCTTATAAATTTGAATGCCATTTTGTCAAAGAACATTTTATCCATAAAAGAAAAAAGAATTTTCTATTGAACATTCGAAAATTTCAATTCAACAGTAGAAGACGATATTTTTTCACCAAGAAATATTTACTTTTATACCTTTGAATAGTAGGGTCTCTGAGAATAC